GTCGGGGGAGACGGCATTCTCGCGTCGCAAAGAGCGGGATGGAGCGGTGACAAGGGCGGCGCGCGTGCACGGTGGCGACGGTCTTGTAGGGAGCAGCACAGTACATATGAAAAACACACAGTCGTATCTTGTTTGAAAATCCAGTTCAGACGCCAGCGGGAGAGGAGCTGTTGCCGCCTCCGGCTCGACACGGCTGTTTGCACTGTGCCGCCCGTGGGACTTCTGGTAGCTGGAGCTGGAAGAGGGTTTGCAGCCCGTGGCTAATGCTGCTGCTGCTTGTGGGGGTCGTTTCCCGCAAAAGCGGGTGTCCCTGAGCTGAGGTGTCTCCTCCAGCCCAAGAACAGGCAAAATGCTCCTTGTCCTTCCCCGGAGAACTCGGGCAGGGGCTCCCTGCCCCGAGGCAGCGGTGCCGGTGCCTGGGGCTGGTCCCGGACCCCGCGCTGGGCAGGGAAAGGGGTTTTTGGGATGGGGTAGGAAGAGGATGGGGTAGCCAGAGACTTAGCGAAGTTAGGAGGGATGCTGTGGAAGGAGCACGGGTAGAGGGTGAAGCTGGACGTGTAGAAATGAAAAATCAGCAAGCTCCTGGTCAGTCTTGAGCCGTCCTTGGGGCTGTGCTGGCAGGGGAATTTGGCTCAGGATGCGCCTCGCTTCACTCGGAGCCCAGACTTCTCTCTCAGGAGCCTCACACGAGGGTTAAGCCATTACACTTCACTTCCAGCAAGTCTTGCTCCTTCCTAAAATCCGTAAAAATCTCAGGGTTGGGTTTTTTACCCCCCACCTCCCTTAAAGTCCGGGGGGAAGTGATGCTGACGAGACCGTGGGGCACGCTGTCCCCGGGAGGGCAGGACGAGGGGTCTGTTTTTAGCAGGCGGCTCTCCGCACGCTCTCTGCCTGGCACTCCTCCGTAATTGCTTTGCTGGATAGCAACAGGTAGTAAAAGCTTTTAAGCTTTTAAAAGACTCCTTATCACCCCGGCCCTGCTCCCCGGGGAGGGAGCCAGGCCTCGCTGCGGCTGCAGCCCCGCTGGGAGCTGCGCCGCTCCGGTGGTACCCGAGTGTTTGCTCGGCGGCAGAGCTGCGACCGGTGGGAGGGTTAAACCTCCAAGACAAACTGGTTAATGATGCCGAACAGCTGTAGTCATTAAATTCCTTACAAAAGACAGATCTAAGCTATTACATCTTTATCTTTTGCTGCTTCCCCTCCCCGTGTGAAGCCTTTAACCTGTTTGTTCATCCTTTAGCAGAGTTTGTGGAGGAGGAGCTGCCGGCCCGGGAGCGCTGGGCTCGGCTGGCGGAGGACAGCAGAGCACCACGGGGCACCGAGGCGCGCTTGGAGAGCCGGACCTTTTCAGAAACAGACCTCAGGAGTCTTAAAAAAGGGGCATTCCCCTATTTTGGCCACCAGCTCCTCGCGCGTTGTGTTCAGCCGAAGCGTGTCTTTCCCAGCGGCGCTGGGTTCCGTGCCTGGGGAGGCGGTGGCAGAGCTGGTTGCGCAGCGGGACGATGCTGTAGTTTGTGGGATATCTTAAACCACTAACAAACGTCCCGTCTGTCTCTTCCCTCCCTCACCCCGGTGATGCTGCAACAGGTTTCTCTCCTTCCTTCGCTCTAGTTTAACCTTACGGCTACTTTTTAAAATAACTTTGGCTTTCGGCTGGTATTTGAGGAGGCTTCTGGATGGAGAGGGGCAGGTGATGGGGGGCCGTGTGTGCCTTTACTAAAAAGTGTTGGGGCTGAGGGTTGTTGATGCCAAGACCTGAAGCCTTTGAGGGAGAGTTTACTCAAAGATGCTGCTCAGCACAGTAGGTCCCTGATCGCCCAGTAGCTATTTTTGGGTCTACTGTAACGCGTAAGAACGCTGGAATTAAGTATTATTATTCTCATCCTTCAAATCTGTCTTGTGGCTCTGCTGACTTGGCCGGGTTTTGTTCGGAGTTTGATGTTTTATTGGGTTTCCGTGATGGGTTTCTTGCTTCAGCCTCCCTCTTCCCGGAGGAATCCCGCAAGAGCCAGAGGATGCGTCCAGCCCTGGCTCCGGTTTTCAGGCACTCCCTGGCTGCTTTTGCTCCTGAATTTTCATGTGCACGTGTGTTGCCTTTGTCTTCGAGCTGCCGGATCCCCAACACCTCTCCCAGAGGGTGCTGTTGAGGTTCCCACGAGTGTTCCCCTGCCCGTGCGGGTGGGCTGTGGGTGGGATGCTCGGTCTGGGCGCAGCGGAGCACCCGTGGCGAAGCTGTGGCTTGCAGGAGCTGCCACTAAATGCTCCTCCGAGCAAGTGGGAATTCACAGGTGGGGGATGCTGGTGGGACTGGGAAGGTGGCAAGGGCAGGGGAGAGGAGAAGGACTGGCCGTAGCTGGGAATAATAAACCCCAGCCGTACCTGCCTGCCCACCTGCAAACGCGCTTTTATTAAAGAACGTTATTCTTTCCGCTCCCCGGCTGCATGACGTCCTCTCGGCTCTGCGATCATTACGCTAAATAGGATAATGAGCCTTAATCAGCTTCATCTCCTCTACCTCGAGGCTTCATTTTGCTCAAACATCTGTCCGCGTGCAGAAAGCGGCTCTCTCGCTGCCATCGCGGTGGGCGCAGGTCTGCGGCCGGAGCCGAGCTCGGCGCAGGACCCGGATGGGTGCTGCGGGGTCTGGGAGCCCCCGGGGTCTCCCCCGGGAGAGCTGATGAGCATCGAAGGTGGCTCTGGGGAAGGGAGAGGAGGGCAGATGTTGCGGGAGAAGCGGGAGTTAATATATAATCCAGGGAGAGAGCTGATGGGCCATTACTCAGTTATAACTCGGAGCCTGCCAATACTTCTTGTGTAAAAGACGGTGGGGGACAGGAGGATGGGGAGCCAGGGCTGTAATTCTGTCCTGGAAATACCATCTCAATTGGATTTTTTTTTAATTTTTTTTTTTTTCTTGTCAGCTAGATACAGGGTTTGCTCTTTTTTTTTTTGTTTTTGTTTTTTCAGAGCACAGAGTAAATCAATAAAGCTGCATGTGATGGGTGGACCATTCCTTAGATTTAAAACAAATAGTAACTAAAGTGTCTCTTAAAAGCCTCTCGCCTGGGTTGGTGCGTGCTCCGTGGGTGCCGGCATGGGTGGGAAGGACCCGCGTGGCCAAAACCCCTCCCTGGGCTGCGGGGTTTGTGTTTCCTACCCGCTCTGAAATATTATTTTTGGGCTGTGGATTGCAGCTGCGTAATGGTTTTCAGGAGCAGGCTGAGGATCTTCACGTGGGGTGGATGAGAGCGGTGCGGGTGTGCGGATGTTCGTAGTAGGAGGTTGGATCCCGTTAACCCTCTCAAAACGTAATTGCGTTGTGCTCCTGCCCTTTTCTATTTTTGCAATTCGAGGCTCGCAAGCCTTTCTGGAATCTAGTCTGGGAGTGGGTATTTTGCAGAGTGAATCTTAGGCTCTTTTTGGCGAGCACCCTTGGGAAGGATTTGAGGACTGGATAAACAGATATCCGAGGGATACTCTCCCGTTTAAGAACGGCGGTGTCTGTCGTATGGCTTGGGATGTGCCTCCAGGATGTATATTTTGCTTTCTAAATCTGTGCAAGTCACGTACTGAGGGAAAGCCGAGAAGAGCGCGTGGATGGGGAGAGCTGCAGGAGGGGGAGGAGAGACCATCACGGCCGCGTCAGGCGGAGTCACACGTTATTTCAAATTGAAATTTCTTTCTCGGTGCTGAACCACGGCCGGATGAGACCATGGGCAGCATCTTTTCTTTTTTTGGGGGGGAGGGAGGGGGCATTAGGTAGTGATTCCTAGCATGTAGCCGGTGTACCGGGGTAACGAGGCAGGGCGATCGTTAGTGCCGTGGGTGCAGTTGGAGGATGCTGGTGATCCTCCCGGCTTGGCGCTGGCGGCGTACGTGCTTCTACCCGGTGAAGATGGAAAG